AGACACCAGATGGCCCAGCAGGGTAGCGCCTGCCCAGGCTGGAGGCCTCAGACTCCCTGTAGGGAGCCACAGGTTCGCTGGGCCCCACATCTGTGTGTGTGTTGCTGGTTACCTGACTGGCATCTGGTCTTCACAGTGTACCTTGAAGAATGGTGTGTATGTCTAAGCACTAATCATTATAATAGCATAGAGTTATAAAAATTATCCACTGTGTGCTGGGCATAATGCTTAATGATGGGAAAAATAGGAAAAATAACAAACCAAACAAAAATAGTCTTTGTCTTGGAAAAGCTTATAATCAAATTGCAGACATTGGCAGGCATTAAAATTTGTGAGGGCACTCTCCAGAGATTTTACAAAAATAAGGAAATCTATAACACTACACTGCAATGAAAATAAAACTCTGTTCCTTATTGGATATTTAGTACAATGCAATGTAATTTTCTCTTAAAAGTCTTGGTTACAGGTATATATTAATACTGATATATTTCTAGTCTAAATTGTCAATACAGTCATTTCAGTGATCATAGTGACAGTGTCCTTACCTACAGGGTGACAAATTACTAGTTGATGGAGCACATGATATATATTTAAACTCATAGATCACGCATCTTTATATAATATTTTTCTGTATACAAAGTACCTCCCGTTAAGAGCTCCTTATATATAAAATTGTTTAAAATTGTTTGAGCTTCCTTCCTTCCTTCCTTCTTTCCTTTTTCCCCTCCTTACTTCTTTCTTCCTTTGTTTTCTCATTCTTTTCATTTTAATTGAGAACTTTAACAAGGAGCATTCAATTTACATTGGAAATATAAAGACTAAAATTTTTGTGTGACTAGTTAAAATGAAGTATTTTAATTAATCATCAGAAGCTAGAAGGGACAGAAATAATCAAAGAAATTACCATAGAGGGCTGCCTGGTGGCTCAGTGGTTAATTGTCTGCCTTCAGCTTAGGTCATCATCCATAATTCCTGGGATCCAGCCCTGCATCTGGCTCCTTACTCAAGGGAGAGCCTGCTTCTCCTTCTGCCTCTCTGCTGCGCCCCTGGCTTTGTGCTCTCTCACTCTCACTCTCACTCTCTCTCAGGTAAATAAATAAATAAAACCTTAAAAAAATAAAATAGAACTATAATTTATTTTATTTTATTATTTTTTAAGATTTTATTTATTTGACAGAGATCACAAGTAGGCAGAGAGGCAGGCAGAGAGGCGGGGGAAGAAGTCTCCCCACCTAGCAGAGAGCCCAATGTGGGGCTCGATCCCAGGACCCTGAGATCATGAACCGAGCTGAAGTCAGAGGCCTTAACCCACTGAGCCACCCAGGCACCCCAGACTATAATATATTTTAAACAAAAGACTATTTAATAGATTAAATATGCAGTTTTTCTAAGTTTCAATTATTACTAAAATTTTGTGGTTTTTAAAAGATTTATTTGAGAGAGAGAAAGAGAGAGAGCACACATGCAAGCTGGGGTGAGGGGCAAAGGGGGAGGGAGAGAGAGGAAAGAAGCAGACTCCCCGCTGAGTGTGGAGCTCCATGTTCCTTGTGGTTTGATCTCTAGAACCTGAGATCATGACCTGAGCTGAAACCAAGAGTCTGAGGTTTAACCAGCTGAGCCGCCCAGGTGCCCCTAAAACTTTGTTTTTTGCTAGTTTAATTTTTTTTCCTTTTCATGAGTATTGTTTCCAATTTTATTTATTTATTTGACAGACAGAGATCATACGTAGGCAGAGAGGCAGGCAGCGAGAGAGGGGGAAGCAGGCTCCCAGCTGAGCAGAGTGCCTGATGCGGGGCTTGATCCCAGGACCCTGAGACCATAACCTGAGCCGAACGAAGGCAGAGGCTTTAACCCACTGAGCCAGCCGGACGCCCCTTCATGAGTATTCTTATTAGAATGTATTGGCTAAATAAGACACATAACTTCACCTTAATTTTTATTATTTTACTACCATGGACTTCTTCATGTTGTGCCATTTGTTGCATTATGTTTATAATATAAATTCTGAATTATAAATAATAAAATTTATGGTTTAAATTTATGCCTACCACCTATATTACCACTTATTTTATGATTTGACCAAAAAAATGAGACTAGAAAGATTGAAAGGTGCCTTGGAAGCTTGATTCATCCATTGAATAACATCTAACTGACCATGTAAAATATTCCCATAATTACACTTTCCAAAAGAAAGTGAGCCACAGGAAAATCCCTATGTTTTTAGTACTCTGTGAATATTGACCATTTGGGTAAAAAGTATCAGGCTCTAGTTATTCCAATAGGTGAAGATCAGGTGTTAGAGATTCCAACAGAAATCCATTCCCCTGAAAGGAGAACATTCTAAATACAAACCATGGGTACAGTGGAATATTCATCTATCATGCTACTCTGTATCAACTGCCAGTCAAGTGGAAATGCTAGCCAAGATTCTTCTACAGAGTTTGACGGGTGAGGAGAAAGGTTGTAATGCCCAAGGCAATAGGTTTAAAAGTACAAATTGGGTGAATATGTAATAATCAAGATACTTCTCAAACTGAAAGAGAGCTTGTTGTAACTGTCCCAGTGGTACCGACGTTAACTGGGACTATCCAGGCAAAACAGGAGCAGAGTAGAAAACCACCCTAAATATGGGCTACAGTGAAAGGCCAAATTCTTCCAGATACCTTCCCAAACTGTCAGAAATATGTACCGGAATAGCAAGCTGGTCCAGTTTCTTTTTCTGGTCTACAATCTTGATTATTTTCTATCCAAAATGATGCATGCTTTGGGCAGGTTTGTCCTTAACCTGATTGGCCTACAGTGTACATCAAATTGTGTGTGACAAGGAGAGCCATACCTTGTTTCTAAGTAGCATACTCTCTTAAAGTAAACAAGTAATATTGAGTGAAATCATTTTTTCCCCATTTTCCTGGAAATAATCATTGCTGCTATGAATCAAGTAGCTGGAGTGGTGAGGGGTGCAAGTAGAGTAGGGCCATATAGAAACTTCTGTCTCAAACTGTGAATCACATTACAATTTAGGTGTGGGCCATTTTTCACCACACAGAAAGATTTGGAACTTCCCAGACTAACAGGCACTCCTTGCATTTTTTTTTAAAGATTTTATTTATTAATTTGACAGAGAGATCACACACTGGCAGAGAGAAAGGGGGAAGCATGCTCCCGGCTGAGCAGAGAGCCTGATGCGGGGTTTGATTCCAGGACCCTGAGATCATGACCTGAGCCAAAGGCAGAGGCTTAACCCACTGAACCACCCAGGTGCCCCACTCCTTGAATTTTTTGTATTCTGAGTGGTAATGTTCTGGTTGAACACCTTTCACTATCAGATTTTTATCTGTAGAGATAAACAAGTATCACTTCAGATTTTTGAAGATAAACTGATATTATATGAATGTTACTTATATGATTCAAATCAAATCAAACTGAAGCGATCTATATGTTAATTATTGTTCACTGGGGTACAGAAGCAACATTTTTTTCATATGACTAGACAGTTTACTTAATTATGTAATAAGAAATCATGAACAGTTTGTTTTGTGAATTTCATCAAACTACCATACCCATGGCCTAAAAAAAAATTAAGTAAACAAACCAGTGCTAGTGTTTTAATCTTGCAAACTTCTAAATGGCTCTGTTATCTTTTCCAAGATGCTTTTCCCTCTTTAGCTTTTAAAGAACGGCTTAAATCCTTTGGAAAGCTTTCCCTGAATCAGCCCGTTAGAATGCAGTAGACTCTGCTCCTTTGCACTTGCCTTTATCAGAGCAGACAGCATGCTCTGCTCTAATGTGGGGTTTGTTTTTCATCTAATCCAATGAACCACAAGTTCCTTGAAAGCTCTGCTGCTAGTATGTCGAGCAATAATATACACTTAATAAACATTAATTGAATAAATGAATTTATGAAATATGCATGGTAGATTCAATAAGGTTGGACTGCTGAAATCCTAAAGGAGATATTAGAGATAAGGGAAGAAAAGTCACATTGAATTCAGATATTAATATTTTAAGCTATTCTTTAAAAGTTCTTTTGAAGGACATTAGGCTTTTAGGAGAACTGATCTTGAGATGCAATGACAGTTGTAGTTGCTTGGTGGATTCAGCCAAATATGTAAGTTGGATAATTTCATCTTGAAAGCATCTGAATTTTCTTATAACAATGTTCTGCATTATATTATTCCTCTTTTCTTTTTTTTTTACTGTCCTCATTTAGGAAATAAGAATACTATCACTTGCTCATTATGCATAATACATACTATAAAAGCAAATATGAAAAGTAGATACAATTTATGACCCTTTGAAGTAAATATGAGATTGTAGATATTTTTGAAGTAGATTCTCCCAGTTCTTGCACACAACCTGGTTGGCTCTTTGGCATTTTGGACAACATAAGTGGTTGTAGGCTGTAGAGGCTATTTATCTTTTAGATGTATTAATTTAAACCAAGGGTCAGCAAAGATTTTTTTTGTAAAGTACCAGATAGCAAATATCCTAGGCTTTGCAAATCACCTACTTAATTCTGTCTCAACTACTTTATTCTGCCACAAAAAGTGCAAAAGCTGACATAGACAATATGTAAACAAATGGGTGTGGCTGCATTCCAATAAAATTTTATTTACAAAAAAGTGATTGTTGAGCAGGATTTGGTTCATGGGCAATAGATTATAACTCCTGACTCAGGCCAAGGGCAAGAATAAATTAATGAAGGTTACAAGATTTTTAAGTTATCAAAGAATGGCTTTGGTGCCAGGAAAACATCTTATTTTTAAGTATATCAACTTTCTATACAAAGAACCTGATAATTCCCCACTCATTTTTAATTAAAAGTATTTCTGTGTATAGAGTAATTTTACATGATATTTGCCATGCAAAAGAAGTATGATTATAAATTATTACTTGGGTTTTTTTGGTACTACCTAACAAAGAATATTCAGTTCAAATTAATTTGCATTTTCAGTTTGACTCTTGGGACGAGAGCAACATGCTTTGCTGAGAGCACTTACTGTATACTTGTAACTGTCCACGAAAGGAATTTTTTCCACGTGAGTTTTCAGCTCTGCACTCATATAGGCCTGCATCATCCAGCTGAACATTGGGTATTTCCAGGACTGCCTGAGATTTCCGCAGACGTGCCTTACTAGGAATATAACCATTAACCTTCATCCATGTGATTGTTGGAACTGGGCTACAATAAGGAGCAAAAATGCCGTTAATATACTTTCCACTATTAGGAACATAGATTCTATTATCTGGTAACTTAAGCACTTAATAGGCTGAGTGCAATAAAGTGTAATCACAATTAAGAACCATGTGTTGGTTGATGTACTTCACTTTCCATGTGTATTGTCTGGGAAGTAGTTACACTCAAAGAAGATAGTTTCTTCTTCTTTCATATTTCAGTAAAGCAATTCAGAGATAATATTTTATACATTTTAATACTCATACTTTATTCTAAAAAGTTTTAATTGCATGGTAAAGTAATTTGACAAAATTACAAAAGTAATGCATGATTATTTGAAGACATTAAACAAAAGACTCATGAACTAAATGAACTAAGAACTCTTTTACACCCTTCTCTACAAATATCTTCTTTTTGCAACAACAAATACAGTTTGCATGTAATCTCCCACCTTGTCTTTATGATGCATATATGTAACACATATGATTAGTTATTTTTGGTTTTGTTTAAAAAAATAAGTTGTGTACTTGATATTTTATAACTAAAAAATCAAATTCAAGATCAACTCCTGACTTAATCTAGTTAATAGCTGCATATTATTCCTTACATATATGTATCAGAATTTAATGAGCCATCCTCTATAGTTAGGCATTAAGTGTAGTCCCAGTTTTTTTTTCTTTCCTTTTTTTTTTTGCCACTAAAAAACAATATTGCTATAAACAACCTTGCACATATATCACACATACTATTGCTTTTATTTGCTGCAGCAGATATTTACAAAAGTAGAATTGATGGATCAAATGCCATGCACATTTTTCATTTTAATAAGTACTGCTAGATTGTTTCTCAATAATATAGTAGCAGTTTCCATTTCTATAAGTAATATATGAGACTGTTTCTCCATATCCTTGAAGCCATTTTATGTGATCAATCTGTTTAATTTTTGTCAGTATCAAAAAGTAAAAAATGACATTTTGTTGCAAGTTTAATATTTCTCTGAACTCAAAGAAGATTGAAATTTTTTTAGGCTTTTTTTGGCTATTTGCATCTGCTTTTCTGTGAATTGTTTGCTTATGTTATTTTCCTATTTTTTCTTTCATTTTTCTATTTGCCTATTTGTAATTTTAAAATTAATTTCTTAGTGTTCTTTGTGTATTAGAGCCACTAAGACCTTGTTTCTCAGAAAAATTCTCCCTCAGTGTATTGTTAGTCTATGATGACATCTCTGATACACTTTTATGGATATTTTTGGGAGAAACAAACATCTATAGTTTCCTTCACAATATCTCTTTTTTGGGGAGGAGTCAAGATGGCAGAGAAGTAGCAGGCTGAGACTATTTCAGGTAGCGGGAGATCAGCTAGATAGCTTATCTAAAGATTGCAAACACCTACAAATCCAACGGGAGATCGAAGAGAAGAAGAACAGCAACTCTAGAAACAGAAAATCAACCACTTTCTGAAAGGTAGGACTGGCGGAGAAGTGAATCCAAAGGGACGGGAAGATAGACCACGGGGGGAGGGGCCGGCTCCCGGCAAGTGGCAGAGCAACGGAGCACAAAATCAGGACTTTTAAAAGTCTGTTCCGCTGAGGGACATCGCTCCAGAGGCTTAACCGGGGTGAAGCCCAGGCGGGGTCAGCACAGCCTCAGGTCCCGCAGGGTCACAGAAGGATCGGGAGTGTCTGAGTGTCGCAGAGCTTACAGGTATTAGAACGGGGAAGCCGGCTACAGAGACAGAGCCAAGGAGTAAGCGCTAAGCTCGGGGTTACCTTGAACCGGTTGCAGGCTCGGTCAGCTCGGAGTGCGGCCAGAGGCCAGGGTGACGGGAGTAATTGGGCGCTGTTCTCTGAGGGTGCACTGAGGAGTGGGGCCCTGGGCTCTTGGCTCCTCTGGGCCAGAAAACGGGAGGCCGCCATCTTCATTCCCGCCCTCCGGACTCTACGGAAAGCGCTCAGGGAACAAAAGCTCCCGAAAGCAAACCCTGCAAACCCGAGTGGATTACTCAGCCCGGCCCCTGGTAAGGGCGGTGCAACTCTGCCTGGGGCAAAGACACTTGAGAATCACTACAACACGCCCCTCCCCGAGAAGTTCAACAAGAAACCCAGCCAGGACCAAGTTCACCTACCAAGGAGTGTAGTTTCAATACCAAGGAGAGCAGCGGAATTCCAGAGGAGGAGAAAGCAAAGCACGGAACTCATGGCTTTCTCCCCATGATTCTTTAGCCTTGCAGTTAATTTAATTTTTTTTTCTTTTTCAATTTTTTTTTTCTTCTTCTGCTAAATTTCTTTAACTTTTACCCTTTTCTTTTTAACGTTTTTTAACTAGTTTATCTAATATATATACATATTTTTTCCTTTTTATATTTTTTCTTTATTGGTTTTCTTTAATTGTTTCTTTCTTTTTTTTTTTTCTTTCTGAACCTCTTTTTATCCCCTTTCTCCCCCCTCACGATTTGGGATCTCTTCTGATTTGGCTAAAGCATATTTTCCTGGGATTGTTGCCACCCTTTTAGTATTTTACTTGCTCCTTCATCTACTCTTATCTGGACAAAATGACAAGGCGGAAAAATTCACCACAAAAAAAAGAACAAGAGGCACTACCAAAGGCTAGGGACCTAATCAATACAGACATTGGTAATATGTCAGATCCAGAGTTCAGAATGATGATTCTCAAGGTTCTAGCCGGGCTCAAAAAAGGCATGGAAGATATTAGAGAAACCCTCTCGGGAGATATAAATGCCCTTTCTGGAGAAATAAAAGAACTAAAATCTAACCAAGTTGAAATCAAAAAAGCTATTAATGAGGTGCAAACAAAAATGGAGGCTCTGACTGCTAGGATAAATGAGGCAGAAGAAAGAATTAGCGATATAGAAGACCAAATGACAGAGAATGAAGAAGCTGAGCAAAAGAGGGACAAACAGCTACTGGACCACGAGGGGAGAATTCGAGAGATAAGTGACACCATAAGATGAAACAACATTAGAATAATTGGGATTCCAGAAGAAGAGGAAACAGAGAGGGGAGCAGAAGGTATATTGGAGAGAATTATTGGAGAGAATTTCCCCAATATGGCAAAGGGAACAAGCATCAAAATCCAGGAGGTTCAGAGAACCCCCTCAAAATCAATAATAGGTCCACACCCCGTCACCTAATAGTAAAATTTACAAGTCTTAGTGACAAAGAGAAGATCCTGAAAGCACCCGGGAAAAGAAGTCTGTAACATACAATGGTAAAAATATTAGATTGGCAGCAGACTTATCCACAGAGACCTGGCAGGCCAGAAAGAGCTGGCATGATATATTCAGAGTACTAAACGAGAAAAACATGCAGCCAAGAATACTATATCCAGCTAGGCTATCATTGAAAATAGAAGGAGAGATTAAAAGCTTCCAGGACAAACAAAAACTGAAAGAATTTGCAAATACCAAACCAGCTCTACAGGAAATATTGAAAGGGGTCCTCTAAGCAAAGAGAGACCCTAAAAGTAGTAGATCAGAAAGAAACAGAGACAATATACAATAACAGTCACCTTACAGGCAATACAATGGCACTAAGTTCATATCTCTCAATACTTACCCTGAATGTTCATGGGCTAAATGCCCCAATCAAAAGACACAGGGTATCAGAATGGATAAAAAAACAAAACCCATCTATATGTTGCCTACAAGAAACTCATCTTAAACCCGAAGACACCTCGAGATTTAAAGTGAGGGGGTGGAAAAGAATTTACCATGCTAATGGACATCAGAAGAAAGCAGGAGTGGCAATCCTTTTATCAGATCAATTAGATTTTAAGCCAAAGACTATAATAAGAGATGAGGAAGGACACTATATCATACTCAAAGGAACTATCCAACAAAAAGATCTAACAATTTTAAATATCTATGCCCCTAACGTGGGAGCAGCCAACTATATAAACCAATTAATAAAAATAATCAAAGAAACACATCGACAATAATACAATAATAGTAGGGGACTTTAACACTCCCCTCACTGAAATGGACAGATCATCCAAGCAAAAGATCAACAAGGAAATCAAGGCCTTAAATGACACACTGGACCAGATGGACATCACAGATATATTCAGAACATTTCATCCCAAAGCAACAGAATACACATTCTTCTCTAGTGCACATGGAACATTCTCCAGAATAGGTCACACCCTGGGTCCTAAATCAGGTCTCAACCGTTATCAAAAGATTGGAATCATTCCCTGCATATCTTCAGACCACAATGCTCTGAAGCTAGAACTCAATCACAAGAGGAAATTTGGAAAGAACCCAAATACATGGAGATTAAACAGCATCCTTCTAAAGAATGAATGGGTCAACCAGGAATTTAAAAAAGAGTTGCAAAAATTCATGGAAACAAATGATAATGAAAACACAACGGTTCAAAATCTGTGGGACACAACAAAGGCAGTCCTGAGAGGAAAATATATAGCGGTACAAGCCTTTCTCAAGAAACAAGAAAGGTCTCAGGTACACAACCTAACCCTACACCTAAAGGAGCTGGAGAAAGAACAAGAAAGAAACCCTAAACCCAGCAGGAGAAGAGAAATCATAAAGATCAGAGCAGAAATCAATGAAATAGAAACCAGAACAAATCAACGAAACTAGGAGCTGGTTCTTTGAAAGAATTAATAAGATCGATAAACCCCTGGCCAGACTTATCATAAAGAAAAGAGAGAGGACCCCAATAAATAAAATCATGAATGAAAGAGGAGAGATCACAACTAACACCAAAGAAATACAGACAATTATAAGAACATACTATGAGCAACTCTACGCCAACAAATTTGACAATCTGGAAGAAATGGATGCATTCCTAGAGACATATAAACTACCACAACTGAACCAGGAAGAAATAGAAAGCCTCAACGACCCATAAGCAGTAAGGAGATTGAAACAGTCATCAAGAATCTCCAAACAAACAAAAGCCCAGGGCCAGACGGCTTCCCCGGGGCAATTCTACCAAACATTTAAAGAAGAACTAATTCCTATTCTCC